GTCTTGATGTGTAATAAATGATCAAAACTATAAGTTCAAATCGGTAAGGAAAATACCATTGTCTTTAGTGGGGCCCTTTATTTGTCGTCATTTAGATTGGAAGATGCTTATCAACGGGTGATCAAGAGCACGTGTCAGCCCGATCCAGACCTAAAGTTTGGAAAACAAACATACAAGAAATCATGTACTCAGCATCGTCAGTAGATTGGACAATAAACCCAGAGTAATGATTGAGAATAAGTCAATCAATCTGTGATATAGATTTATAGAATTATGGTCTACTATGATATTAGTACTGCTCTAATAATAGACCTAATCCTAAATTTGTAGATTTGTCATGATATAACTGCCTAATCTATAAGATCTTACGTGGAAGTCACACCATCGACTACACCAACTCACTGTATCGTATCAATTACCAATACATGATGTAGAACAAGGTTAGGCTAGAGAAAGAACAATATATTTAATATGAATAGAAGATATAAAGTACCATTCAGCAGAGACCACGCCTGCATGGCCGAGCCATGCCACTCGATCAACTCCAGTCCGTTCCACTCCTTGTTCGCGCCTTCTCCATTCTTAGGTATTTCCCCGTGTTAAATATTGAATATCTATTTCCTGAGTAGTCTTGCGTTCAGCTTTGAAGATTGTGTGGTTATGGTCCAATGCCACTACAGATTGTCTTCCGACGCTTACCACTCAGACTCATGTTTCCAATTTTATGCTGGATTAGCTTTTCTACTAAGACAACCTATAAGACGCTAACTCGGACTTTTACACTAGGATTGTGTGGTTGTCATCGGATGGACAAAAAAAGAAAAGAAAGAAAAAATTAGACAATAAAAGATATAGTCATTAGTAATGTTATCACTTCACTCTCTACATACACACTCTCTTCTAATAAACCACTTTCCTTGTACCAACCTTGACTTCCCTTGATGTGAGCCTGTAGTGACTCACACTTATCACGACAACACGACTGGTTTAATAAAAACAATTATTATTATTATAACCAACTGTACCAGTGTTTGTTTTAATGTGCTTTTGTTTGACTGTGCTAATGACAGCTATATTATGCTTCCATTCTTATACTCACACTTTGATTTTGACTTCGCGCGAATTCGGTTACGTTCTGTAACCAAGCTTATATCCTGGCACGATCTCGGTATTCTTTCGATGCCATGAGATCGCCAGTGAATATATCTCGATTTGGTCCATTAAGTACCTTCTGATATTTGGCTTCTCGAGGATTTTATGGATTTATTTGGTTACGTTCAACCTTCCCCTTCTGATTTACTTGGCACGTGTTTCTCTGTAGCGGTGCTCATAGTCAATTTCCACTCGACGCCACGTTACAAGCCTACGCCAACTTGTTAAACATCACAACTCATTGTTCTTTATCAATACATTCTTTTTTATGGAGCCTCTGACTTCATTTCACTCTAACAAGAGATAATACGAATTTAAGCTAATTTAGTATACCTCTGTCTGTTCTACTACAAAAGGTTAAGCAACGTTTGGGGTTCATATGTAGAACTATGGTCTACTATGATATTAGTACTGCTCTAATAATAGACCTAATCCTAAATTTGTAGATTTGTCATGATATAACTGCCTAATCTATAAGATCTTACGTGGAAGTCACACCATCGACTACGCCAACTCACTGTATCGTATCAATTACCAATACATGATGAAGAACAAGGTTAGGTTAGAGAAGGAACAATATATTTAATATGAATAGAGACCACGCCTGCATGGCCGAGCCATGCCACTCGATCAACTCCAGTCCATTCAATTCTTTCTCCGCGCCTTCTCCATTGTTAGGTATTTCTCCGCGTTAAATATTGAATATCTATTTTCTGAGTAGTCTCGTGTTCACAGCTTTGTGGATTGTGTGGCTATTGTCCAATGCCACTACACTACTCTCCCACCAGAATCAACGTGATGTTGGTTCGATACCAAATTGGATGGGATCGTCGCGCGCCGGAGGTTACCAAGGATAATAAAGATCCTCCGGGTATTGATAAGCTGAAAGATAAATCAAAAAGAAGGCAGTATCTGGTCGGAAAATACATGTAATAATCTTAAAATATCTGCTTTCATGATTAACACGCTTAAAATGAAAATTTGGTTGAAGATTATCTGAACTATAAAAAATGGGATTACAATAATAATAATAATAAAACGATGCGTGTTAATAAATTAACTTATAGGCAGTAATTATTTTGTGTTTAGAAATATTAAAGTAATGAATATTGTAGAAATGTTAATATTGGTATTAGTTTTGGTTTAAATTATGAAATCGGATAACGATTATGCCGGTAAGTTGTCCATATGAGTTGAATTCCAATTGCATCTGTATCAGTAGGCTAACTGAAGGAACAAAAGTATTACCATGGTAAAGAATTCCAACTAGTGTTCTAGTTAGTTTGATACGGTTTATTTAGTTACGGGGAGATTTTCTCAACCTCATTTTTACTTGACCGTGATAGAATTTAGTAATACTACTAATACACATGAATGTTCATCAAAATAAAATTTAAATACGTGAGTGATGATTATATGAATTTTGGACAGATAGCTAGGAACAAATCGTTAAACATGAGCGTATTCGTAAGAGACATGCTCTAGACTCAATGTTCTGATCTGTGGCAGACTATTTACTTGTATTTATACTTGCCGAGTGATTGGACATACAAGTTAGTTGCAAGTATGCAGTTTATCATAAGGCGGAACACGATTTAATTGAGATATAGTGGTTACAAGTTATTAAAATCAGTTAGACCTGTGTCATATTACGAAGTGATGTGGTGCTGCAAAATGTATTTAGCTAAATAAGTTTTTACAAGATGATTAATAGTGAGTGATGCTCATGTGATTATCAGGGAGAACATAAGTTGTAACCAGGGGGAGTACACTCCCAACTCATGTCTATGATAATGGCTTGAACCTTAGTCAGTGTTGGGGTAAATTCGACACTGATGTTTTCAGTTTGCGGGAGATTTGCTCGACTGCTTATACTGATTATTTGCATGCATGATTGTGTCGCTAAACCATCAATTAGACTGACAAGGTTTTGAGATATTTATTGAATGAGCAACTGATAGAGAAACATACTGTAATCATCTGTGATGGGTGAAGATACCAAGAAAACAACACCATTTAATGGTAATTATAAGTCAATTTGTTGACCGATTTCGTTAATAGTTTCATTAATTTTATCAGTCATATTACGTGATTGTCAAGTTATGACAATGCTTTATGACGATATCCTGAAACTATTAAATTTAACTAGTTATAGTGTTGATTAAGGATTAGTCAGTGGAAAAATAGGTATTGTTGCTTTAGGTGATTCAAAATCATCAGATATTTATAACGTTAAAGAATCCGAGACGCCTAATTTAATTATAAATTTCAATTCAGAAGCATTCGTTTAGTGTTCATTCTAGTAGGCTACGGAGTTTTGATTTTAAACGTTTGTTTAGCCAACAGCTACTTGGGGATTTAGTTATTTCACTAGTGCAGTTGATAGTACCTAAATTTCTAATCTTATTATCTAAACTACGTTCGCATTTTAGGCTGCTAATATGATAAACCAATCCATAAACCCAAATACGATTAGCAACAACGACTATGATGGGTTTATTGATAAATGTTAAAGGCGATCCAGATGATTTCTAAATTTATAAGACATGGAGATATAGTGCAACGTATGTATGGGCCAGGTTAACATGCAGGTTGTTGACGTATATGACGATTTAAAAATAATGAACATGACCAGAAAATAGTTTTAAAGTTTAGACTGCTTGTGAAACTTCAGGCAGGAATATGACGCGTTATAACTATTCCATAAGAAGTTACTGGATTTAGCCTAGGGACACTTACAAATATGTAGCAAAAGCAACTGGAAAATATATACATGTTAAGTACAAAACAAATCATCCAGTAAAATAGTTGAACTCGCCTGGATTATTTTTGAAAATTAGATTATTCAGTGGACGACATATGTAACGCCATTCGTGAGTAGTATTGATCCAAAAGCATCCAGAATAAAACATGCAGTATGGCAATTAATTCCAGGGTGCTTGATGCTGTTGAGGTTTTTGCCACTCGCTCGGATCAGAACAATCGAATAAACCCAGATAATTTTGTGGTTGTCATTTAACGAACCATCTAAAAATGACCTTATGATTGCAGAAAACTTATAGCTGGAACTCACCGTATGTTTTTGGAGAAGTGTCATCCTTGTTGTTTGGCAATGGAACTCGAAACTTTGAAATTAGGCAGGCAGTGGTCGGAAGAAAAGATATTACATGATAGTGCATAGTTTAAAACAGGAAGAGGTAATAAGATAAGGAACACTGAATATTAGATCCAGATAACTATTTAGTCCTTGATCGCATTGTTAGTCAATGTATATTTACGCTATTTACAGGTCATATTTGCTAGAGCTTGATGTTTAAACAAGACTATGTCGCTGAAGCATGTAAATGCTATTACAGCTTGTTAACAAACCATCAAAGCTAATTAGTTAATATAGACGACCGGTTTTTATTATCGATTGAGCTAGTTTGTCATGAGGACTAATCAATATAATATTACGATAATGCATGTGAGCATTAATCAGAGGACTATTAGAATACAGGGTTAACATAAATATAAAATCGGTCGAGAAAGTTGAAGTGGAAATAAGGATTAATAATAATAGGTTGCGTTTCTTTAGTTGGGCTCACCAATGTAGAACTATGGTCTACTATGATATTAGTACTGCTCTAATAATAGACCTAATCCTAAATTTGTAGATTTGTCATGATATAACTGCCTAATCTATAAGATCTTACGTGGAAGTCACACCATCGACTACGCCAACTCACTGTATCGTATCAATTACCAATACATGATGAAGAACAAGGTTAGGTTAGAGAAGGAACAATATATTTAATATGAATAGAGACCACGCCTGCATGGCCGAGCCATGCCACTCGATCAACTCGGCAAGGTTTAAACGTTAGGTCCTTTTGAAATGTGCCCGCCCTTTCGTTTCAACGACCTTGAACGGCTTGACTAGAGGCGGTCATTCCGTATTTCAATTGCCGTGGGTTGGTTGGATTGCATGAGTACCAAGTTTTTTCATATATAAGTCATGTTATGCTACATAAAAAAGCACGAAATAAATACCAAAACCATTAATTTAGCGTTCTCTGTTTTGTAGTGTACACGTTGGCTCTGTTGTTGCTTTGTAATTTGATCTTTGATCCCAACAACTGTAGTAAAGCTCAACGAAATGTCAAGTCACAGGTAAATCCTAAGTATTTGTAGTATTTTCTTGGGTTATTATTGTCGCAAGGAATAACCTTTTAATAATTAGTCATTTCTGTTTTTAGTGCTTCATGCTCAAGTGACATTTCAGCCGACCTAACCGATGCCTTTCGAAGTATGATACTGAACAAGCGTTTCGTCTTGTGGGATGATTTTGAAAGCGCCTTAAAAGAGTTCCAAAAAGTATGGAATTATAATTTTATCGCTTCTCAGACTACTTATACTCGTTACGTCCACACAGAAAGCAGATTGCTGAAGGATGTCAGGTTCAAAAACCTGTTTGTATCGTTTAATTGTACGTTTGGTCATAAGAGGAAATCGGAAGGTTTGAAAGTGAGGCAAAAATCGTAAGATCTTTAACTAATATCTTATGTTTAAGGTCTAAATTCCGTAATTGTCGATCTAAATTTCGTGTAAGACTAGAGGAGCAAGGATATGTCATCAAATCCTACAACATGCTCCACAATCATCCATGTAGTAGTTCATGGATGGTATGTGATCCATTGACAAGGAGATTATCGTCAGAAGAAAAAGAGAACTTGAAGCCCGTAATACTTCACTGTGAGTCAGCAGATGAAGTTATCGAAGATCAAGTGATAGCCGCAAGATCTTATAAATATAATGCTCCACAGCGTCTTACACCCCTGCTAAACATTTTGACCCCATTCGCTAGATCTAAATTGTTATACGAACTTAAACAAATGCGTTTTGTCTACGTGGAATATGAAAGCGGTGATTGGTTGTTTATGGTTGATCGCGGACAACATTATGAAGTTGATATAAGCATTTGTCAATGCAATTGTAGCACGTTTATGATGTGCCGATATCCCTGCCGTCACATGCTACTTGCCTACGTTAAAAGACGAAATCTTACAGGTAAGCTATATCAATTATGAAATACTAACTGCATAGCTCATCAACTTCTTAGGTATTGTAGCAGATTTAAGTTACATAATACCCAGAACTTCCAAAATTATACATTAACTGCATTAACACGACGGAGTGAAGTGTATATAAGTATTCAACGAAGTCAAAGAATCCATAAGCAACGCATCATTGAGAAGTATGGTGAACGTTTCGCAACGGAAGTTGAGAAGAAGGTGGACAATTATTACTTAAGAATTCTTAATACCAACTTGTAAACTTGATTTTCTGCTTTAGCAGCAATGATTATTCAATAAACTGTCATAATTTTAATTTTCATCTTATTCCTAGTTTCATGGGAATAAATAGCAATGACGTTCATGTGTAACTGTTTGTAATAATTAAGAATGATTCAGAAACCCTACATCCACGTACAATCTTGCAGATTAGGCACCCACATATCATATTCACCTTCGTCGGATTACGTTTATAATTAAAATCGTATCAGTAGCTAAGATTTTAATTCCATGTGATTAGTTCCGCTTATGAATTAAAATGAAACCAGGATAAATGTTGATTAACAGTGGTATGCATTCGTTATAACTAAATATGCATTAGGATTTAATAGTGATGTGGGAAACAGTTGACATACCTTAATATGAATAATTGAAATGACGTGGGTTATCAATAATGACTAGATATATATATATATATATATATATATATATATATGCAGTTTAAGGTCAAAGGTCATTTGTTTTTACAGTCAATAACACATTAAGAATGGGTGGTGTAATAGTGGACTGGAGTTCACAGACAGATAAGTGGTGTGAAAATCTTATGGCCTATAAGTGATCCGTGGATTTAAGAACTGAAAACTTGGGTCACGTAATAACTTATTACAATTTGAAGAGGTCACATAATTACAGAGGATTAAGTGAGCAGATGTAAGTGACAGGGTGCTGGAATAAATCGGCAACTAAATTTTAAAAGTGAAATGAATTAATACATAATCCATCTTATTACTTGTTCACTCCATGGATTATAAGGAGTTCATATTATTCTATATCTATATTTGTTCTAGCGTCATATCGACTATTAATAAAGACGGACACGGTTTATAAAGTAAGACAATAAGTGTAGTTGCTATATTTATATTTCACTAATTCATTAGTTGAATAAAAATGTTACTAGGCAATACGGAACACAGTTAACGTGAACATGTAAACCGTTTTTTAACAAATTCTGTAAGTTGTAGACCGGCGTAAACATCACAAACCTTTGACGACTTTATTGGATTCATACAATTCTGAAAAACAAACAAATCAGTTGTGAAATAAAGAATTAGACCTAGTTATAAGTATCACATTCAATAAGTACATCAAATAGCAGGTTACAGAATGTACCTATAAGTCTCTTATTTGCAGACAGCGCTAATCATTAGAGATTTCTATTTCCTTTAATAAAAATTAATAGGTAATCTTTACAACACACAAATCAATGTTATTTAAAAATTGCTGAAATCAGTTTCGTCACAACAAAGAAGCGTGGTCTGAATTATGAAGAAAATGTTATTCATTAATGTGGCATAAACGAGATATGAATACAAGGAACTTGTGATTCTGCTTCCATTGCTCATTCACTTTTCGTCCCGTTGTCTGCATGAATTACTTCGGACGAGTCAGTCTGTAATACAGTAGGAATTCATGAATTAACTCATGAATAGTTGTTTTTTATTCAAGTCTGTGTCGTAACAAGCACTGGGAATTTATTCAGTGTCTAACCCTTGTATTATTTCGTACATACATCTGGTATTAGCAAGAAAAATTGGTAAGTACCATTTAGATATTACTCGACAATATGCATCATAAGTTTGTTCACATTTTCGTCTGAGACTGTGCATTTCGTTTACAGAAAATTATTCGTCAACCCTATAACAGACACATCATGAATCAATATTAAGTACGACATGGTTTTGTCACCATGCTCAGAAGAGACAGCCATCGTTTCACTTATGAAGATTTTGTGCCTATTTAATGTGGTGTTATACACTGTTCCTGTATACGTTCAGAAAGCCGGTAAAAAAGACTATCAACATCAATTCTTACTCACATAATTTTTCTCTGATACGTTACACAATAATATGTCACTTCAATACCAAACAATGCTACCTTTACTGCAAATAACCTTTTATGGCTAAATACAAACAATTTATATAATATCCATAGTTAGTTTAATGCTTACTTCTTTCTGCTAACATCTTATAAACGACTGCGAACATCTATGTTTGCTGTCACCATAATCAAGGAGGTGAACCATATATAATGCTTTTCACGGCTTATTTTCATGAAAAGTCAATCTGTTTTCTATTTTTCACTAGAAAAATGGTGATTTGACTTGTTTGACCTTGTATTATTAAAAAATAACCATATTACGCCAACTGCATGTTTACTTAGGTGGTGAGCACAAAATACGTCAAACTGCTTATAAATTGAAATAAATACTATCTTCCAATCACAAAGATTACGAGAAGTCACGTATGATGGAAAAAAGGCTGTTAATAGCTGATAAATAACGAAACATAAAATCCACGACAATATGTTACATGTGCGCGAAAACCCGTAAACTAACACGCATAGTGTGCCATCAACTCCAGTCCATTCAATTCTTTCTCCGCGCCTTCTCCATTGTTAGGTATTTCTCCGCGTTAAATATTGAATATCTATTTTCTGAGTAGTCTCGTGTTCACAGCTTTGTGGATTGTGTGGCTATTGTCCAATGCCACTACACATATCCAAATGCCTTGCTGCTATTCTGTTTTTCTTTTTTCTTTCCTCAGGATCTTGCTCTGAGGGTACAGCAATGGAACTTCTGACGTCTGGAACAAATTTGACGTACGCGTCTCCTCAAGGTCATGTTCCACACCACGCGCTCCACAAGTCTACTTCATAACAACTATAAACCTAAAAAGTTGTATTTCATAAATAGTTAGCACGACCATGTTGAGATTTAAACTGGTGTGCAGCGTGGACGCGATACCACTTTGGAAAATAGTTGGAGACTGTACTCAATGTAATAGTAAAGCATAAATCTAATCATTAACACTCCAAGACATCTGCACGAATGTACTGTTATTCAATTTTATTGATTTCATTTATTTAACGACCCTACTTGGGAAGCATGCTATGGGCCAACAAATGTAATTTGTGGATCATGCCTGTAAAAGTGGCGTGTACTTGCCAAAGAAGAAATATATTATTATTAAGATGAGTAGTAATAGCCATTGGTTAATAGCTTAACTTGTCGGCAGTGTATTTTTTGCTCAGAAATGGAAAAACAATCAGTACTGCATAAATATTGTTATTTGTATTATCTTCGGTGTAAATTAGAAAATTAGTTAGTGTTCCTCGGTATTCTACCTGCATGAGTTGATTCTTATTTGCGTCAGCATTGGTTGGCTAACCGACGGAACAAAGTATAACCGTGGAGAGGAAGAATTCCAGCTGGTGTTTCTGTTGGTTTGTTAAGTTTAATACTGCTTCTTTGGTTACGGAAAGATTATCTCGAGCTCTTTATTGCTTAACCGTTATTGGATTTAGTAATACAACTGATACATATGAACAGGTATCATAAATTCGTCTAATACGTAAAAATACTGTTTTTGTGAATTGCTTACAGACAGCTGGTGGTAGTTCGTTGAACGTTCATGCATGCGTGAAGGACATACTCTAGACTCAGTGTTCTTATTTGCGCTCAGCCAATTTTTTATATCCATACATACTGGTTGATAATGCATACAAACCAGTTTCACGTAACGAGTTTTGGACAATATAGAGATCGATTTGTATGAATTTCAGTGATCATAGGGTGTTGAAATCGACAAAACATATGCGTCACCAATATAGGGGACACGATACAGTACGACACCTTCGACCTTTACAAGATGACAAACAGTGAGTGCTGCTCATGTGACAATCAGAGAAAAAAAACATAATTTGTAACCAAGAGGAGTACAACTTCCAACCCATGTCTATGACAGTGACATGGACCTTAGTCAATTGTGGATAAAATTCGACAGTCATGTTTTCAGTGTGCAGGAGACTTGCTCGACCATTTATACTGATAATTTGCATGCATGATTGTATCGCTAAACCTTCAGTTAGACTGAAATGGTTTTAAGGTGTTTACTAAATGAATAAGCGACGGAAATGCATGCCGAAATCATCTATAATAAATGAGGATAACCACGAGAAAACAGAACTATTTAGTGATGCTATAAGTTCATTTGTCGACCGAGTTTGTTAAGTTTCATCAATTTTATTAGCCATATTACATAATCGTCAAGTCATGATAATGTTTTGTGACGATATCCAGAAACCAATATGAGTAACTGATTGTAGTGTTAACTGGGGAGCAGCTAGTGGATATTGTTGTTCTAGGTGGCTCGAAAATACCAGACGTTTGGGACATTGTCGGGTCCGAGCTACCTGATTATATTATCGCTAATTTTAGCATCAGAATTCAGGGTTTTTATTTTGAACGCTTGTTTGACTAACAGATACGTATCACTATAGTTGAATTTACGGGTCAATTAAAGCTAGACCACTATAGGAAACCTGAAAGCACTGCACGGCCGTTTCGTCCTAGCAGTGCGCATCTACGATCCCGCTTCGCGAGAATCGAACCCAGGACTTATCGGATACGTATTACTAAAGTCATTTTACCGGTGCTGTACTTCAGTACTTCGATGCGGTGACTTTGCTGTCTGAACTATGTTAAGGACTGTTTTATGTAGCCAATATGATAGTTCAGATTAGAGAAGTCCGTCAAAATTTGCATCACCAGTGCACAACTAGGTATGAATCGTCGGTGAAAATTAATTAGATCTAGAAAACTTCTAAGTTGTGTTAGAGGACTTGGTGTGAGGTTTTGTCTGATAGTGTCCACTTATTCTGTCGGTGTAATCCCTCCAGGGACTTATTGAATATCCAAGAAAGTCCAAAGTTTGAATTCTAAAAACATACTTCTTTATGTATTTTCATTCTATTTCCATCTAGCCGTTTTAAAAGTGCACACATATGTTAATCGTGTGATTTTGAATCCGGACTGGCAGTTAATAGATCATCTATATACTCTTGTGCAAATGGCATGTCCCGAAGTAGGTTAGCTATAAAACTTTGAAATGTTTGTGAAGTTTTGCTCATGCCGAACGGCATACGCACAAACTCGAATAGTCCAGAAACTATAGTATTATCTCTCTTAGGGATGTTTTCCTGCGCTACCGGGATATTGTGATACGCCCTGATCAAGTTGATCTCGCTAAATATGTTC